GGCGCCTGTTGAGGTGGAACATAGTGATGCTGAAGTGCATAATCCATATGAAGTCGAATAAGAAGATCAAGATGCTGAAGAGACTGAGGAAACTGTCGATGACTACCTACTGGCAAGAGATTAGGTCGATAAGAGTCATCAAGCCACCTCAAAGACTTGGTTATGCAGATCTTATAACTTTTGCCTTAATCTCTGCAAGTGAGGTACTTGAGGAAGAACCTAGAGATTACAAGGAAGCTATGAGGAGTCAAAATCAGACTGAATGGCAGAAAGCCATGGATGACGAGATAAAATCTCTTCATGATAATAACACTTAGGAACTGATTGAAAAACCTCCAGGAGCAAGGTTAGTCAGTTGTAAGTGGATTTTCAAGGTCAAGGAAGGAATCGAAGGAGTGTTGTCGAAGCGCTTTAAGGCAAGATTGGTTGCTAGGGGGTTTACTCAGAAAGAAGGTGTCGACTTTAATGTTGTGTTCTCACCTGTTGTAGAGCATAGATCCATTAGAATATTGTTGGCCATGGTGGCGAAGTTTGACTTGGAACTTAAGAAAATGGATGTGAAGACAACATTTCTGTATTGTGACCTAGACGAAACGATCCTGATGCGTCAACCTAAAGGGTATGCAGAAAAGGATAAGGAAGATTATGTGTGCAAGTAGAATAAGTCTTTCTATGGCCTGAAAAAATCTCCTCGACAGTGGAACAGGAGATTCGACAAGTTCATGGCACATATTGGTTTCACTAGGAGTCAGTTCGATCATTGTGTTTACTTCAGATTTTGACCTAGAAACTCACTAACTTTTTTGTTGCTTTATGTGGATGATATCCTCATAGCCAGCAACAGTTTCGAGGATGTAATGGAGGTGAAGGTTGAACTTAGTAAGGAGTTCGAAATGAAGAATCTGGGAGCTGCCACAAGAATTCTTGGGATTAACATCCGGAGAGATAGAAAGCAGTCAAAGTTGTGTTTATCTCAAGAGACATACCTACGGAAGCTTCTTGACAAGTTTAGTATGTCGAATTTAAAGTTTGTTGTCACTCCAACAAATCCTCAGTTTAAGCTTAGTACTACTCAAAGTCCGAGTACTGAAACTGGAAGAATCTATATAAGGAGCATCCCATATGCTAATATATTAGGTTCTTTGATGTATGTTATAGTCTGTACAAGGTCAAACATAACGTATGGTGTGAGCCTTGTAAGAAGGTATATGGCCAATCGTGGAAATGCGCATTGGCAAGTTGTAAAGTGGATCCTCTAGTACATAAATGGGTTTCAAAAAAGAGTCTTGATTTATGGTGGAGCCTGTGATGGTGATAGCATAGTCGAAATTGAAGAATTTGTCGACTCTGACTATGCAGGTTGTATGGATTCTAGAAAGTCTATTTCTGGATATGGGTTCACTATGTTTGGCACAACAATTAATTGGAAATCAACGCTTCAGAAGGTTGTTTCCTTATTAACCAATGAAGCATAATATGTTGCATTCACTGAAGCTGTGAAAGAACCATTGTGACTTGAAGGTTTTGCAAAAGAGCTAAAACTTCAAGGTCGAAGTATCATTGTTAAATATGATAGTCAAAGTGCAATGCATCTGTCGACGAACTCAACCTATAATGAGCGAACAAAGCACATCGATATGAGGTTGCACTTTGTCAGAGAGATATTTGAGCATGGTGAAGTCTAGGTGCTGAAGGTTTCAAATGATGACAATGTTGCTGATATGATCACTAAGACATTGCCAAGTTGCAAGTTTTTCCACTGTATGCAGTTGATAAAGATGCATGATGAAAGCTAGTTTATTCCCTGTTTGTTGAGTTAGATCCAAGGTGGAGATTTGTAAGATATTTGGGTCGAACTCAAGCTTTGTCGATGAATAGCTTTCATGTATTTTCGACAGGAGACAAGCATGAAGTCGAAGATGGATCGTATGCTGTAATCGAAATATACATATTGTAGTCGAAGTCAGTTCTAATATGTATTGTCGAAATGTATGTCGAATTGGGCCTTGTGTTAAGGATCCAATTGTTTAGTTATTTTGGGTTGCATGTTATCTAGTTAGTCTATAAATAAGCTAGATCACCCAGATTGTTGAGTGAGACCAATTGTTATTCATTTGTAACATTTGTAAATCCTAAATGAGAAAATGAATAGTAAACAATTTGCCATAATCCTTCTTCTTCTTTCTTCTTTATCCTTTCTTCTTTCTCTCTTTGTTATAATTGATCTCATTATTCACCCAAGAACTTCATTTCTCAATCTTGATTTGTTAAAAGATTGTGTGTGTGTGTGTGTGTGTATGTGTGTGCGTGTGTGCGTGTGTGTGTGTGCGCGTGCGTGTGTGTGTGTGTGTGTGTGCGCGCGTGCGTGCATGCGTGTGTGTGTGTGTGTGTGTGTGTGTGTGTGTGTGTGTGTGTGTGTGTGTGTATCAATTTTAAGTAGAGATAAGAATAGATCAGGTCAACCTACATATGCCTATAGTCTGATCTATTTAAGAGTGACTTGATATTGCATATTTTATAAAAAGGATATACTTAGACTTTTTTTTAAGTCTATTTAATTGAATAGGTTAAATAGGTCAGACATGGACTATTAGAAGAAAAAAAAACATATGAAGTTTGATAGGGACCTATGTATGCATATCTATTTTAAAATAATTAAATAACATATAAAAAGTTGTGTAGTCTATTTAAAAAATGTAAAAGTGAACTATTTAAAAGTCTTAATGTGAAAACAGATTTTTAAATAAAATTTAAGGTCTGACCAGACTTTTAAAAGGGTTGGACATATGGGTGTTGTGACGCAGTTTAGGCAGTTTTAACGCTAAAAGTCATTTGAACCGCAAGATAAAAAACGTACAGTTTGGTTTGGTTCAGTTGACTTTTAAAAAATAAAGTCGAATCAAACCAAACTAAAGTTCTATTGGTTCGGTTTTTTACAAAATGTTTATTGAGACTTACACACATAAAAAGACAAATTAATATTATGTTTAGTCATTCATACATTACTAAATAACAAATAAAAATGCCAATGAATACAAATTACAATACCATTTCAACATCAAATAACAAAATAACAATGTGTACTACAAAGTACAAATTGAAGCTCTAAGTGTGAGGAATAAAAAATCATTCGTAATCATAAGGCTAATGTATAATGAGTTTGGGTTTGGGTTGAATGTGGATTAAGTGAAATTTAAGTTGTAACATAATGTAGTTCGATTTGATTTAGTTTGATTTGTAAAATACAAAGTGTGTGACTGTTAAAAAATGACTTAAACACATTTGGATCAAATGCGATTTTTTACATTTTTCGATTTGATTCGTTTTGGCTAATAATTTTTTATTGCGATATTTCGATTTCGAATACTCCTAATCCAATCAAGCCAAAACAAAAAACATATAATAGACCTTAGAATAGATTAGACCTTAAAATTTTACTATAGAACAAATTCAAATCTTCTAAAATCTTGTCTGACCTAACATATTCTCACCTGTAGATTTAAATGACAAAAACTCAATACTCAAACGGATAGGAATTAAATCTTATTGTTTTGATTCGATTTTGATTCACTCATTAAACAAAACAAACCAACTTCATTGTTTTGAATTAGGTTACATTGGATCATTATTTTGAATCAGATTACATTGGGTCATTATTTTGAATCTTACACACTTAATTTAGTTTATGTCCTTTCCTTTTCTTTTCAATACTTTGGTTTATGAAGTATCAACGAGACAAGATTTAAAATACTTCAATCAATATCTAATTTTTGAAGTTATAATTTATATTTTTAAATCTAAATGTAATTCATATCAAAATTTACTATTCAATATTTTTACATAAATATAAACAAATAAATTTAATTAAAGAGAATTTTACACGATTGATAATAAATGTTTGAAAGAAATTTAGTTTTTATTGTAGTTATTTATAAAATAATACAAACTAGTAATGAATAAATTGTCTTAAAATTTTTACACTAAAAATGCATAATAATTAATGTCTAAACAAATTTACCTTCAACATATTTTTTAATAAAATCAATTTTAAACAACAATTCACTAAAAATCAATTCATGACATCGGATCTTTTTTATTTAATTTTTTTAAACATTTTTTATAATATTATATATTTTTGTTTAATTTATAATTTTATTACAACTTTTTTAATTTTATTATAATATTATATATTTTTGTTTAATTGATAATTTTTACAACTTTGTTTAAAATTTTATTTAATTGATAATTTTATTACAACTTTTTTAAATTAAATTTTTTTCAAAAGAAATACTTAAATTTAAAGTTATCATGTTTAACTTTTTGTGAAAATTATATTTTAAAAACATCTTTTTTTGAAAAACTTATAATCCATAATTATGTTACATAAGATCAAAATTAATCTTTTAACTTATAAATAAAATAAATTTTAAAAAAATACTAATATTTTTAAAATACAACGAAAAAATCTATTTTTTAAAATTTTAAAAAAACGTGTCCAGCAAATTACGCACTTATATGCTATAGACCTAGAAATCTATTGCAAATACCTTGTGGTAATCTTCAATATATTTTGAATCATGCTTACTTAGGAGGACACATGTTAAACATGATACTGTACATTTTATCTTGTTTTAAGGATTACAGATATTACAAAAAAAAAGGTGAAATCAGAAAAACTTCTGTCAAATAATTTCTAAAAACCAAACATGCCTTAATATTGAAAGACTTTAACATTGTTCTGTTCTAAGCAAAACAACACTCCATAATACTTCCACTGCTGATAACAAAAAGCATATCGTGTGCAGACACGATGAATAAAAGACCACACATAGACAGTCTAAAACTAAAATAGTAACACATCTCCATACTTGATGCAACTCATGCATAGTAAAGATGTTTATATCAGTTCTACATTTATGTGACGGGTGAATCAAACATAACCAGTTCTACATTTATTCACAGGGGTGAATCAAACATCAACCGAATCACTGGAAAGCAAATTAACCTTCAGAGCTGCAAGATGTCTCCCCCTGAGAATATTCTTCCTGTTGGAGTCGCTTCATTTCCTCATAGGCCCATTCAAGTCCGGGGCAGTAATGAAGGGGAGGATTAAATCTGCTATCGTTCATATCTGGAGGCAAGAATGCTCCATTCTCTACCAAGAATTTCACAGCATCCCTATTCCTCTCTTTTGCTGCAATGTGGAGCGGTGTCCCTGGTTTAAGGAGAGAACAAAATCATCAACATGAAAATTCAAACTTTGAATGTTAATGTTTAAGTCTAATCTTACAGCCACAAGCACCCTTAGTTCTGGCATCAATATTGGCACCACGCTCAAGCAGTTCATCCATCACTCCGAGGTGACCACCTTCGGCAGCAAGGTGGAGAGGGGTCACGCCTTTAGATTTAGGGCCCCATGCAGTCACATTAACATCCATTCCTTGGTTGAGAAGCTTTTTTACCTGTACAAAAAAACTATAAGCAGATGCTCCCCTTTCCACTCCAAATATGATAAATTTGTATTTTTAAAGTAACAGTGAACCATACATAATCAAACAGTTCATGAATCATCAACTATGTACAGAAATATGTTCAGAGCACGGCAGAAATTATTGGTAAAAGGTTTAAATATTTTGTAATGACAACAATTAAGGCGTAAAGGGTAACCAGTGCAAAGCTCCCCAAATGCATTGAGGAATTCGGGGCAAGTCAGTGGCAAGCAAACATCCATTGTTGCATCAAAAAAAATTACTTCTTAGATTCATTGACATGATGATGGTTGTTTACACAACCAGAACTTTGCCAACTAGTCATAAGACCACCAACCTCATTGGTTAACATTACCCTAACCATTCCATGCACTTTCTATAAGGACCCTAGAGAGCTTTTATACTAAAAAATAATGTATGCCCATTTGAACAAGACTATGTAACTTTCTAACTAATTGCAACCATCTATGGATCCTCCCAATCACGCAAACACATTAAACAAACTTGTTGTCCATCATAATCTTCCACCTACACTATATTGTAATCTAAAGATGAACTGCTTGGCAAGTGGCAGCTTTAACTTGGACAACCTGACACTAAACAAATGTAAATACTACAGATCAAACAAATCAGAGTCGCATTTCTAGTCAGAAGAATACCCACTACTTTTACAAATTCACCAACCCCCGTTAACCCTTTAGATATTAGTCATAACTACTGACCATGAACCTACTCAATGTTGTAAAACACAGCTCAGATTAGGATCGAGATTAAGGTAATAGACAGTAACTGGGAGTTTCGTAACACGCCGTAAGATCCTACCAAAACTGAGGACTATAACTCAGAAGGATCGTGATACTAAATCGTATGATAGTGAAATCTAAAATCATAACCAAACTCATAATCATGCCAAATAACTCAACATAAAGATTAAGATTCAAAAGAGAAAATTTGATAAAGTGTTAGCGCAAATGAAGGGAGTTGGTTCTTAGCGTGAGAGGAATAGATGAGAGAAAAGTTGGCACATAATTAAGATCGAGAGAGTGAAAGTCTTCTGGAGTTTCACATTAAAGGATTTAGTGGGCCTGCAAGCGGTTTCAAAACAATGTAAAGACGGTTTTGCTTTGGTCAAATAGTGAAATAATTGAAACGGCACATTTTTAACAAAGCAAGCATGTGTTTCACAATTCCAAAGATAAAACAGTTTTCATTTACTCATGTTTCCCAAGCATAAAATACAGGTTTTACAAATATAGGGATTTGTTTGGCAAAACATGGCATCAAACCCAGCCCAGCTCTAATGTGGTCATTTCCCTGATCCCTTCATACTCAGAAGGCACAGTGTTCCCACAATTTTGCAAGGTAGCACGCCCAATCTTCTTCTCCAACTTTATGGACAACTCAACTTGCTCAAGCATGAAAAAAGCGTTTACTCGTCTGATTCAGCAAGCCGACTCGGGAATTTCCCTGATCCCTTCATACTCGGAAGGCACAGTGTTCCCACAATTTTGCAAGGTAGCACGCCCAATCTTCTTCTCCAACTTTATGGACAACTCAACTTGCTCAAGCATGAAAAAAGTGTTTACTCGTCTGATTCAGCAAGCCGACTCGGGAATTCAACGACACTACAAGCCCTCTCAAAGCTGTCTATACTCAATGGCTTTAAAACTAGCACTACTTGGTCTTTCATATGGCATGAGCTCGAACTGTTTTGCACAATGTTTGGCATAATACCCAGCCCCTACTCTAGTAATAGCTGTCCACCATCAATAAGCCATCGATGGTTCCTTCCGATGTTTCACTCTATTCAGTCACTTAATTTTAAAGCTATTTCAAATGGTTTTTATAAAAAATCATTTTTGAGATAAAACTTTTTGAAAACATTGCGATTTCGACTATGTTTTGATCTTCAATAATGTATGTTTACGATATATGATGTCAAAATTAATATTTTAATTTAGAAAAAACGAATAAAAAAAACTTGCAATATTTAAAAAAACATTTTTATAAAATTTATTTTTGAAAATACAAAGGAAAAATCTATTTTCTTAAAGCTAAAACAAACGGCCATGTATCGGGTATATAAGCAGATATTCTGTTAAGAGAGCTGATAATGACAGTGAGCTTCTAGGTGGATTGGGACTAGGAATTGGGTTTTTGTTAATAAAGCTTCATAGGTCATTTTTTACTTTGATCATTGTTAAAAACGAGAGACCAATATAAGAAAATGGTAACAAAATGTTAAAAAGCGCCCCTCAATCTACAAAACAAAGGTGGATGTTAATGGAAAACAAAACCCTCCAATCACGAAACTGATGCCCCCAAATCCAATTCCTTCACAACATGCACATGTAATTCAAATCCAATTAACCAACAAACTAACCAGCCTCACGTTACTCAATAAACTTAAGCAAATGCATGCTTTAATTTGTGCAGCTCAAAATTGAACTTACTCATACAATAAAACATTCATATTCAATCATGTGATTATATCAAAAAACAGTTATTAACCAAATACAGTTAATTTGCATTAAAAATTGCACACAAAGGCTGATTAAAAACTTAAAGAGAAAAAAATCTTACCAGTTTGATATCACCTTTCCGCGCATAAACATGAAGTGAGGTCCAACCCCGGTCATCAGTATCAACCCCAGGCCTCAACAACTTCCTTCTCGAAGGACTTTGTCTCAACGAAATCGGCCGCTCTTCAAGCATATCTCTCTCGGCAATCAACGCAGCCACAGCAATTACGATAATCAAAACAATACAAATTGAAAAGGAAAAAAACACCAAAATCCTAGTTTTCCAACGTGGTTTTGATTCTGATTCAATCAGACTAATAGGTTTAACTAATAATCCTACGTTCAAACTGAAACCCTAAAGAGAAACACTGAATTAGAAAAAGACTCCGAATTTACATGATTTTCGGGAAGAAATCAAATCCGACAGAGAGGATTTTGAATACAGAAGCGTAAGTGTTACTGTACGAAGAGAATTAACGAGGCTGGCGGGAGTGATTGGCCAAACAATAAGGTGCAAACGGATTCAAGCCGGGACCGAAGACGCGAAGGTTTTGAACGATGAAGATTGGATTCATTATAATTGGTAAACGAATTGGGGAAGAGAGATTGGTGAGAATGAAGAGAGCGCGAAGGTGAAACGGAATCAGATGAAACCTGGCTTCATTGAGGCGGAGAAGGAGATTTTCGAGTGGGATTGGGAAGGGGGTGAAGGAGGAGGAATATGAAACCCTAGCAGAAGACGTATATATCTGAAGTGTTTCTAAATTGCGTAGTGCGTTATATATTAAATTAAAAATTGATTCCTTATTTATCTTTATCTTTTCAATAGGCAAATTCTTAGGGAGCATGATAACCCGTTGGTTTAGAAACATTTAGTGGAAGTTAATTTAAAATATTAATTTATTTTTAAAGTGATATAGCATTAAATATGATTATTTTATTGTTTTTATTTGATGAAAATATTAATATCCAAATGTGATTGTTTAAATATTAATATCCAAATGTGATTGTTTATTGAATGAGACTATAACTATCCAACCAAATCTAGGATATTGGAGTGTTTATTGAAAAATTATGTATCTTTTTTAAAAAGGATTATTTCTTTATTGTTTAGTTTTTTATTATATTAAATAAATTAGTTAAACTATTTCTCTTCATAGCTTCTTATTTAAAAATTAAAAAAAAAATCATTTTATTTAAATATTTGATGTAACAATATATGTTGACTAAAAATCCACTAATACCATTTTCTTACAAATTTACTAATGAAATTAAATACTTTTGATGAGAATCTAGCAAGTTAAACGTTAAAAGTATATTTATTACTAGACTTTCATAGACAAATTTTATTAAATCATTATTAGTAAGTGTTACAATTTTACATAGTTTTAAATAATATTAATATAAATATTTTGCATATTAGTTTTTGCTTTTGGCTTAGAGTATAAACTAATTAGTTTGATATTTTGTAGTTTTATTTAACTTTAGAATTACAATAATAATAATAATATCTAATAAGTGCAATAGTTTCTTTGTTTTTGTTTGTCAAAAAGTATGATAAACCATATATATATATATATATATATATATATATATATATATATATATATATATATATATATATATATATATATATATATATATATATATATATATATATATATATATATATATATATATAAATATATATATATATATATATATATATATATATGATATTTTGTAACATAAATAACAAGTGAAGAAGCGATATAAAATTGTCAAAAGTATTTAGCTACATGAATGCGAATTTCATAAATGCATTTAAAAAAATCTCATTAAAAATAAATGATTTTAAAAATTTAAGAGGAGATAAATCATTTTAATTGTGTCTTACAATTAAAGAAACGTTTCAAATACTTTAGTTGAAATGATAGAAAAAATATAATGTGTTACTTGTTCATCTTTAAAACTTAAAACTAAAACTCTTCAAAGACAACTAATTCATGTTACTTCACTACCTTGTACTTGTTATAGCTCTTTAAGTGATAGAGGGACCGATTTTTAAGAAAAACTCTCATGCCACTAGAAGAAATAGAAAATGTGTTTCATATAAAGTCATTTGTTATTATTTTGGTGATAAGGTCACATTAAGTCTCTTTGCCATGTTAGGAACATTCAAGTTTCCAATGGTAAAATGATATGGATTCTTAAGTAAGATTTTGATCAGGGCACAGAGAGTCATTTCCTTTTTCTTTGTGTAAAGAAAAAAGATGGTAGACTAATTGATATTTCTATCAGTTAATGAAAAAGCCCAATGCAAAAAAAAATCCACTTTGAAGTTGACTTATCCGCTCGGCCAATCGTCGGAATGTGTACGATATACCATAAGGGCCCAATATCTTAATAGCACCTTTGTCTAAAGCTTCGAATAAGACTTCATATCCGAAACGCAGGAACGATCTGACTAGAAAGTCATTCAAAACTTGATCGAAGAACCAGTGTTTATTGAAGAAGCTATAGAGTTGATTACACAAAGTACTTGTTTGAAAGGCTCGTTGGAATTGATCCGCTACGGGATTTACATTATACGCAACAGAAGCACCTGAAGTACTAAACAGAATAGGTATGAGTTTGGTAATGGTTGGAGCAGCAAACTTGGATTCGGCAAGAATCTCATTTTTTGGTAGTAACTCAACTAACCCTAAGGAATCCACTAGTTGGGGACCTAAATTGCCTATTTGAATTGTCGCAGAAAAGTACTATGTAACGCCCCAATTTAATTTATTTATTTTTCGTAATTAAATTATATGATGTTGTGTAATTGTATGTATTGATTGGTGTTTTGGTGTGTTTGAGATACCCTTCGACGTGGGGTAGTGGCCTTAAGAATATAATTTAAGGTGTTTGGGTGTGTGAGTAATAGTGTAGAATTTGGTGGTGTGATGAGTAAGACTAATTAAATTATATTAGTTAATATTTAGTTAATTATATAATATTAGGTTGATATTATTTAATTAAAATAAACATTGAAGATTATAATTATTATTTTATTTAATTGAAATATTGAGTAAATTAGTAATAATAATAATATAATAAATAAATAAAAGAGTAAGGGTAGAAACTGTCTGAGTGTGAAAATCAGAGAAAAGGAGAAAAAGAGAAGAGTAGAGCTACCGCAATGAAGGAGAAGTTAGGAAGAATCCCCAATGCTAAAGGTTGAGGAAACTTTGTGAAAGCTATAAGGTAAGGGTGAGGTTCCTATTATCAAAGGGTTTGTATGATGATGGTAGGTAGATTATAACTATGCATGCTTGTATTTCTCTTCCCTCTATGTTATGATCTTTGTTGCAATTTTGTATTTGTTGGATTGCATATTTGGTTGATGAACTATGAGTTGTATGATAATGTTGTGATTGATGAATAATTGGTGGCTTGTTGGAATTTTTTACCAAAATGACCAACTTTTCACCCCCTAAGTGTCAATATACCCAACATTTCAAGTTATTATCCAATCTATCCAACTTTCAAACTTTTTATTTTTTTATTTGTGAAGAGGCGCCATCCAGGATGGAGGCACCCTTATAAATTAAAGGGGGACGCCATCCATGATGGAGGCACCCTTTAAATTATAAGGGGGGCGCCATCCATGATGGAGGCACCCCTTATAATTTAAAAGGGGGTGCCATCCCCTTTGGATCCCCCTTTATTTCGTTTAATTTTTTAATTCTAATATAATTAATATTTAATACTATTTTAGACCAAATTTGTTTGTATAAATAGTTAGAGTTGTTTCATCCAAATTAGCATTGTTTCATCTAAATTTAGGAGAGTGAGTCATGTATCTTAGAAGATATGAACATGTTATTTTCTCAAGAACGAAGCCTCCGATAAGGATGTTGTTTTGGAACATCCAGAGTTTAGAGCAACTAAGAAGAAATTTGAATCGTTGGTTAGAAGGAGACATTCCAAATGGTGAAAGCATTAGGAGTATTGAAAGACTTGTTTCGTACTTCTCTGTTGAAGACGGAAATATACGGCGGGAATAGGTGCGAATTAAAGATGACAATGAAATTAGGTCTATGATGTTCGGAACTGATGATATTACTTTGATTGTTGCTATATCTTAGTTTATGTTGTAATAATCGTTATATTTTTAATGATTTGCGTTGTTGTTCTAGCAGTATTTCAATTTGTTTAAGTGGTAAAAAGTTGTTATAAATATTAAATTCCAAAGTTACACATTTTTTTAATGACCAAAGTAAATCTATCTAGATCTTGTTCCAACATTTGGACAATTATTCCTCGTATGCACGGGAAGACGACATATTCCGCACAATCTTTCCATTTTCTCAGTTGTATCCATTTCAGTTGTAATTTGCGTGCTTTTGGAGCGGCCCTTTTTGTTTCTTCTCGTATTTTCATTGTGGTAGATTGTGTCTCCATGATAGGTTGGCCAATAGTCCTCACTAGCTACCACTGGAAAACTGTTATTGTAGATACCAAATAAGTTCACGACCTTGTAAACTTCTGATAGTTGCAAGAATGGATCGTGACGAGCACTGGAACATGCGGCAATGACATGTGAACAAGACATGCGGAAGGTTTGAAACTTTCCGCAGTCGCACCAATTTTTATGAATTTCCACCCTGTAGTGTCTCATTGGCCGACCCTCGTTGTGATCCATTATCTCATCAACAATGAAGTTGTAATCGTGACGATCAAATGGTCTAACTCGATGTGAGGCCGCCTTAGAAGTTTTATCCTTCATATATTTCATACATGATTCGCTGAATATTTGCCATGATTCCAAAACAGCGCTCCATTTTGTGCCTCTTGCCGTAAAAAAGTGACCCCAATCTATAATAGGTTGCTCTTACCAACGCAGTGATGGGGAGGTTCCTAGTTCCCTTAAATACGTCGTTCAGGGATTCTACAAGATTTGTGGTCATGTGACCCCATCTGCATCCTCCATCAAAAGCCCTTGTCCATTTCTCGACTGGAATGCTATCCATCCACCTTAATGCTTCCGCACTTGACAATCTTATTTCTTCGCGGTAATACATGAACGATGGTTGGTTTAAGGCATACCCAGCATTCACAAATTTTTTACGAAGATTTCTGTCTTTCATTTCTCGCATAAAATTTTAAGCAACGTGTCTTATGCAGTAGACATGGACAGAAGGAGGATTGTGCCAACCATTAGCAGGATTA